GGTACCAAAAATCTGGGATTAATCCCGGGCCACTCGTGTCTTCCGACCGCTCATGGCAATATCCTTGATCCGGAGGCTCCAGTGAATCGAAAGAGTTCTTACAAGTGTTCCTCCCTTAACGGACCAGCTAAACCGAAGCCCGCGGCCTACACGAGAACCATCCTATCCTGAAAAAAACATCTCTTGACCCATCCTCCCCTTCTAACTACCGTCCCATATCCCTGCTCCCTTTCTCATCAAAGCTTTTGGAAAGACTTGTCTTTGCCCGTGTGCCCGCTTCCTTAATTCCAACTCTCTCCTCTTCAGTCTGGCTTCCGCCCTCTCCACTCTACTGAGACTGCTCTTATCAAAGTGACTAATGACCTAATCTCCGCTAAATCCAAAGGTCACTACTCCATATTAATTCTCCTTGACCCCTCTGCTGCCTTTGACACCGTTGATCATGCTCTCCTCCTTCAAACTCTTCAATCGCTCGGTCTCTGTGACTCTGTCCTCTCTTGGTTTTCCTCCTATCTCTCCCAACGCTCATTCAGTGTCTCCTTTTCCAAGGATACCTCCTCCCCTCGTCCTGTCTCGGTTGGAGTTCCCCAAGGGTCTGTCCTTGGTCCCTTTCTATTTTCTCTTTGGCAAGCTTATTGCCTCTTTTGGATTCCACTACCACCTGTACGCTGATGACACTCAGATATACCTCTCCTCCCCGGACCTCTCCCCTGCCATCCTGCAACGTGTCACTGCTTGCCTTTCTTCCATCTCTGACTGGATGTCCTCACGCTTTCTGAAACTTAACCTCTCTAAAACTGAACTCCTTGTCTTTCCTCCTCCTAATACTGATCCTCCTCTCTCCTTCTCCCTTCAAGTCAGTGATATCCACATAAGTCCATCCCTGCAAGCACGCTGCCTTGGCATCATACTTGACTCTGGTCTCACCTTTGAGTCTCACATCCAGTTTGTTGCCAAGTCCTGTAGGTTCCAACTCAAAAACATAGCCCGCATTCGCCCCTTTCTTACGCAAGATGCTACCAAGGAGCTTGTCCATGCTCTAGTAATTTCCCGCATGGATTACTGTAACCCTCTCCTGATTGGTCTCCCCAAAAGCCATATTGCCCCGCTACAGTCTGTAATGAATGCTGCAGCTAGACTGATTTTCCTCTCTACTCGGTCCTCTCACACCTCACCCCTCTGCCAGTCCTTACATTGGCTCCCTGTATGCTATAGGAGTCAATTCAAAGTGCTAACCCATACATTTAAAGCACTGAACAATTCTAGCCCCTCTTATTTGTCTTCACTAATCCATAGATATGCCCCTCCTCGTACCCTCCGCTCTGCCCGTGACCACCTCCTGACCGCTGCTCGCACCCGTCCGGCCAACTCGCGCTTGCAGGACCTCTCGCGGGCGGCTCCTCTCCTATGGAATAGCTTGCCTACTGCCATCAGACTCTCCCCTAGTCTTCAATCATTTAAGAAGGGCCTTAAAACCCATCTCTTCAGGAAAGCTTATGGCCTCCCAGAGTAATCTCTACCTTACATACCTGTCTCCTGCTCTCTCCTATGGGACAGTGCTTTGCTCTCTCCTCCAGCTCTGCTTCACTCCTACTTGATATTTCCTGTCCTAATATTTCTAATACCCCACCTCCTATAGTCTGTAAGCTCATTTGAGCAGGGTCCTCTTCAACCTATTGTTCCTGTAAGTTTTCTTGTAATTGTCCTATTTATTATTACATCCCCCTCTCAAAATATTGTAAAGCGCTACGGAATCTGTTGGCACTATATAAATGGCAATAATAATAATAATAACCAGTTCTCTGGCTCACAAGGCGACACTTGCACACAGCTGTCGTTCCCCCTCCCCCTTCTGGACCGGTGAAGGTTATCCCGGTCCCCACTGGCCTACTCACCATCACTCAGCCGACATTATGCAGCCACTCCAATGCTTAACTGACTGGCATCAGAAGTCTTCAAGATGGCGGATGGGCTGCCACATCGAGTACTCGGACCGCCGCAGTCCATGAGGGCTCCTGGTGGTACAGCAGAGCAAATGTTGACATGACTGAATGAGCTTTTTGACAGCTTCTGGGCAAAATATAGGAGCCCACTCTGCGGGAACACCATCACCAAACCGGAATCACGAGAGGAGAACAGAACAGAGTGGGGCGAGCGGACCGCCCCCCCGCCTCCCCTACAGACCCCCTGCCCAAGGGCACAGCCTCCCTACAAGACAAATAAGTCTCCTAAGTCTAGCCCACCTGGGCTAAAGGCCAGCAGGGACAAGCTCCCACTGCATCGACCACAGAGGCGGAAGATCCATCGCTGCAGGTGGCGAAACTCCATCAGGAGCTTCAGCCATCCCTCTACAGGAAAAGACTTGGACTCATTGCTGAGGACCCGAGTCTGTGGGTCTGGGATGCAGGCCTTCACATCTGCCTGGGGCTGGGAGGGCTCTGATCTCGGCTCCTGCCTCGTATCCCTTCTTGTATGCCTCCCTCTACCATCTAAACAAGGCATTGGTTGAAACCATGCTTATCACCTTAAACTGTGTGACACGTACCATGCATCTGGCTACCTAACGACCCTCCTGATTGCCTTTTGCCCAATAGCCGGTATCTTTAGGCTCTGACTCAAAAATTCTGTTTTTGTTGTGTTAGCTATTTTCTTTGATTTGGCACTTTACAGCGATAGGCTTGAGTGGAGGGCCAGGGTTATATCACCTTGATCACCCAGCTTGTTCTGCAGCGTTCATATTATGCCAATGGCATTGTTGTTACTTCACTTAGTTAGCTACTAAAGGCATATAACCCTGTTTTCACCTACTATAAAAGTGGCCTGTATACTCCGTAACCTTATCTGAACATTCAACATGCTCATTATTACAGATCTACGTCTTTACTCTCACACTATCTTGTTTTGATCTATATCGAAATGTCACGAATGTCCTATTGCATATCTGTATAATCTATGCCACAATAAAAACAAAGATTGACAAAAAACAAAACATAGCTAACATAGTAGATAATTATAACTTAAACTATAGCAATGACTATTGCAGTATAATATTAAGCAGTTTCAATGTAACATTTTGTTAAAGATAAAATAGACTACAATAAAAATGGAACTCAGTATGGCATAAATATTAGTATTACAAGCACAAAAACATAAACAATAATTTGACAGCCTCTTATATATTGTTATTCGACTACTTTTTCATTTACTTCAAAATAAAGGCATTATCTGATTAGGATATGGTAGGGTGAGTACTGATAAAGGTAGCATACCAACTAGAACTCTACAAGAGTACCATGCTGTGAATTCTGCTGAGGTTTTCATTATTATTTGCATAATTATATCAAGAGTGAGAATACATTTCCCCCAAATGTGTATTTTGTATATATACATATAACAGGTATGTGATTGGGAGATGTGGGGCAGAGAAAGTATGCCAGTAATGCAACAGAGGGGTGTGCCAGCCTGGCATCAATGCACACCACGCTGACTGACAACCTCCTAGCCAGACCAATAAAAAGCAGACCCAGCATGGCGGAATAGAATTCTGAAATAGGAACTCTTACACTTAAAAATTAGGGAGCTGCATACCTCCTAATTGTCCCTATTAAAAGCAAACCTGTCACATCCCCCATCCTCTCCCCCCAACAAAAATTTGCATTTCATAAAGATAGAATCACTGAAATTCCAACCCAGTCAAGAGCTATACAGAGACAAAGTAGGGATTACATTGTCTCTGTATATTTCCTCAGCCTGACTTTCTTAAACTCTGGGTGGAGCTACAGTGTCAATCCCAACAGCTGTCACCAGTGATGGCTGCAGGGAATAGGCTGTGCCTATGGAGGCCGCATGATCCTCAACAGATATCAACGCTGTACTCTCACGCATGCACAAGAGTACACCAGTGACATTGGTGCTGAAGAGCAACCTGCCGGATCAAGATAGCCGGACCCACGAGGGACAGGTTCAGGTAATTAAATCCTACCTTCACTTGCCCCCCAGCTTCTGGACCCACAGTGGCGATGTCCCCATTGGGGGACTTTTCGAATTCCTCAAAGTCCCCAAAGGGTGACAGTGCCGCTTTAAGCGGGACAGTTCCTATGTTTGGTCCAAATTCCTCTGTCCCTCCCATTGGTCCCAATGTCAAAATAAATACAATAAATCAGTGTTTCCCGGATATATCCATGGCAGCACTACAGATGGGTATAGCTCCTCCCACTCCCAAATTGGACAGGAATACCTCCTAATTAAACAATAAAAGAGAGACTCCATCCCCTACATCCTCAGTCTGTTTTTAATGTCCACTTCAGTTGAACTTAGAATGTTTTGCACCTACTCTTTTTTCCTTTTGTGGCTTACTTGGATCTAATAGTACCCTTTGCCAATGGGGAGTTTGGCTTATCTTCTCATAGAAGCCTCAGGGCATAGCACATCACCAAAGGGTCCTCCTAAAGGATTCTGCTCTTAGCGGCCAGGTACTTATGCTGCAGTGACTCTATAGATAGTAGCTGGACGTGCCAGACCCCTGAGGTTATAATTCCCAAAAATGGGTCACCTACCAACTCGTGGGGTCCTGGGGTATCTTGGCTTTTCAACCATGTTGGCTGGATTGGATATTTGACATGCAATTTGGCATTGTGAAGAAGAAGGATTCGCCTTTTCCTGGCTTGATTATATTACCCCTAATAGGGGGCTGCTAAGGGGCTCCTTTCTGCTTATGCCCTTCTTCAGTGTTTGTTTTGGCCTTTTCCCTCCTTTCCTTCTCTGTTCTATGGTGTTCTGGTGGTGGAATGCATGTAGCGTTCCAATTTGGTAGGAACAGATGGTTTCAGGTATCTTCCGGAGACGCACGCAGCACGCTGGAATGCACGCTGCATTCCACACGAAAGAAGGATAAACTGAAAGTGACTCACAAGCGGGCTTTTTAAACGTAAGAAAGGACAGGACCAAAATATATACCAACTGAAGAAGTCCTAGGGTGAATTGGACATTGTTACAAGGCACCAGGACTTTCAGGACTTATTTTTAATTGATTTTATTTTAGTTTCACTTTTATTTCTTATTTTATTGAGCAATAAACGTTATTACATTGGAAAGATTGCAAACGGCACAGATTTTATTCAGTTATGGGCTCTTAACCTATTGGAACCCCGTGGGTTTTACTTATCACAAAGAAGAAAAATTGGGGACATCCTACTAATCGTCCCACTGCATTAACCATTTTAGCCAGATGTATATATTGGCTTTATACTTGTGAGTTTTAATTTTTCCATTATTTATCTCAAGACATACAGCATAGATAATATTAGACATGTGCAATTCGTTTCGGTCCGAATTAAAATTCGTCCGAATTTCGGGTTTTTCTGACATTCGGGGTGCTTCCTAATGTCCGAATAGCTGAATTGCCGAAGTCCCGAAATTACAGAATTTCCGAAGTGTAGTAGTGCCGAAGTGCCGAATTGCTGAAGTGCCGAATTGCTGAAGTTCCGAGGTGTCAAAGTGCCGAAGTTCCGAAGGACAGTATTGTCTAAGTACTAATATACTTACCCAGTGAAAGAAGAAGAATGTTACACTGTATACAATTTCAAATAAAAAGTATACAAACATAGACAGGATTCAGCTGTAAGCATTTGCAACACTTAAAACAATCAAGTAACATACATTCATATAAAATGTAAGTTACTTAGCCAGTCATGTAATGACAGGAATGAATAAGTAGATAGCTCCCTAATTCCCACGGTATTAGGGAGCTATCTACTAAAAGGCTGTACGGCGAGTAGGGGCATGTCTATTAAACAGTGAGCAGCCTGGGGTGGGGGCCCTAAAGTAAAAAAAGGGGGGAGGACCTATTGTCCTCCCCCCTGGCCCCCACCCCTGAGTGGTGGGTGGGGGCCCTAAATACAAATTGAGGGGGACCTAATGTCCTCCCACCTGGCACCCACCCCTGAGCAGTGGGTGGGGCCCTAAACAAGAATAAGGGGGGTGTGACCTAATGTCCTCCCCCCTGGCCCCAACCCTTGAGCGGAGTGTTGGGGCCCTAAACAAGAATAAGGGGGGGAACCTAATGTCCTCCCCCCAAGCGGTGGGTGGGGACCCTACATTTACCTGTCACAGCATTCTGATTGGTTGGTTTGAAATCCACCAATCAGAGTGCTCTGTGTCATTTTACACAGCGTGGGAAAGTTCTTTGGAATTTTCCCACGCTGTGTAATTTGACTCATAACACTCTGATTGGTTACTTAATCCACCAATCAGGGTGTTATGAGTCAAATTACACAGCGTGGGAAAATTCCAAAGAATTTAGAGACTTACCTGTCAGTCTCTTCATTTACCTGTCAGAACACTCTGATTGGATGGCTTAAACCCACCAATCAGAGTGCTCTGAGCCTAATTGTAGTGCTCAGTCTGCGAAAAGCCCTCGCCGGGTGAAGAAGGATTATTTTTTTTGCACTTGTTTTTTTTTTTTTAATTGCATCGGTTATTATGGATTTTTATTTGGCCTTTTTTGGGGCTGAAAAAAGAAGATCTTAGGAGAAAGAAAACATTGAATGGTAAGTTTAATTTTATTTTTACAGGTATTTAGTTAAAGGTACCCCCTCATTATTTTTAGGGTGAGGGGGGTAGGTAGGAGTTTATTTTTTTTGGGAGGGGGTGACTAGGGGCTTGGGGCCAGGGGGGAGATCATTAGGTCCCCCCCAATTTGTATTTAGGGCCCCCACCCACCGCTCAGGGGTGGGGGCCAGTGGGGAGGACATTAGGTCCCCCCTTATTCTAGTTTAGGGCCCCCACCCACCGCTCAGGGGTGGGGGCCAGGGGGAGGACATTAGGTCCCCCCCCTTATTTTTTATTTAGGGCCCCCACCCACCGCTCAGGGGTGGGGGCCATGGGGAGGACATTAGGTCCCCCCAATTTGTATTTAGGGTCCACACCCACCGTTCAGTGGTGAGGGCCGGTGGGGAGGACAATAAGTCCCCCCCCAATTTGTATTTAGGGCCCCCTCCCCTGACATTAGGTTCCCCCCCTTACTCTTGTTAAGGGCCCCCACCCACCGCTCAGGGGTGGGGGCCAGGGGGGAGGATATTAGGTCCCCCCCAATTTTTATTTAGGGCCCCTACCCGCCGCTCAGGGGTGGGGGCCAGTGGGGAGGACAATAGGTCCTCCCTCCTTTTTTTACTTTAGGGCCCCCACCCGCCGCTCAGGGAGGGGGGACCCTTTTTTTTTTTTACTAGACATGCCCCTACTCGCGGTATAGCGAGTAGGGGCACAATTTACTAATACTAAGTAATTTTTACTTAGTATTAGTAAATTTGGCTGAAAGACCAATTTAGGTCTTTCAGCCTTTTGGTAGATAACTCCTTAATACCGTGGGAATTAGGGAGTTATGTACCAAGCGGCTGCAAGAAAAGTCCCGAAATGCCGAAGTTGCGGAAGTTCCGAAGTTGCCGAAGTGTCTAAGATCCGAAGTGCCGAAGTTGACGAAGTTCCGAATTTCGGAATGCTGAACTGAGCCGAATATTTTCCCCATGCACATGCCTAGATAATATGGCACTAGTCTCTTTGTTTCTTGTGCTTTCTTGCAGGCATATTTCTACTACCCTATTGATCCTTATGTATGTATTATTTCAAGTAAACACTTAAAAAAACTGAATCCCACTTTCCCTCTTCATGAAGACTTAATTAAGGAGGAATGGAGGTACACCGAGAAAAGGGTCTCAGTTCAGAGTTGGATGTCCAAGCTTTACTCTTTTAAGTCTGACGACAGTGTCCAAAGGGATTTGGCTCCTAAAGTGGATGCAGTGATTGTACGTATGACGAAAAAGACCACCCTGCAGTAACTAGTGCTGGAACCTTAAGAGATCCTATGGATAAACGAGTGGACTCCAATTTATCAAAAGCCTATATTGCATCTGGCTCTATCCAGATGAGGCTATGACATCAGTATCAAGAGCCTTAAAACAGTGGTTGGACAACCTTGAGGAAGATAACTTGAGTGGGGTCAGTAGGTCCAGAATTCTGGATTCCTTGTACAAATTCAGATTGGCAATTGAATTCTCATCTGATTCTTCAATAGATCTGTTCGGCCCATCTCAAGAAGCATGGTCCTCTCTGTAGCATCAAGACGTGCTATTTGGCTACGAAATTGGATGGCAGATTCTTCTTCGTTAAATAACTTTTGTGCCCTTTAATTTCAAGGGGATATGTTCTTTGGGAAACACTTAGATGAGTGCATAAAGAGAGCAGTTGAAGGATGTAAAGCCTTTCTTCCCCAAGATCCCAAGCGGTCCTTTCCTCAGGATAGATGGTCCTTTTATGACAAATATTTCAGGCGTTACAAACTTGATAGAGAATTCTCCAGAACAGAGACACTAAAGGGAGGTCTCTCCTCTTCTAGAGGTAATTGTGGGAGAGGAGGATTATCAAGACAAGCCAAACTACTCTGATGGGGCTACAGTCAGTCCTTGGGGGTAGAAGCAAGACTTCTGATTTTTTCCAAGGTCCAGGATCAGTTCATCTCAGACAGGTGGCTGTTGAGAATTCTCCAAAATAGCTATTTTCAGGAATTAACAACTATTCCTAATCCGCGATATCTCCCAACCTGTATTCTTCAAGACCCAGAGAAGGCAAGAGCTCTCCACGCGTTTACTTTATCCCTCCTATCAGAAGTGGTAATCTGCCCGGTTCCTCCAAGAGAAAGAGGATTAGGGTATTATTTGAGACTGTTCCTCACACTAAGAGGAGAACAGAATCCAATCTTAGATATGTATGAGCTCATGAGCCATTATTTTTTAAGTAGATTCAAGATGGAATTAGTCAGTTGCATTATAAAATAAAGACTTTACTTAGATCAGGAAAACCGTCTACTACTTCAGCATTCTATCGGATATAGGGTATTTTCTGTGACTAGTATTTCCTTCATGATGCTCCTCAATCCCCGAACATTAGCAACATGCTGTAGTTCCTAAGAGTCCAGATATCCGCTCTCCCCATTCTATTGGATAGAAAGCTTGTCTCAGATCCTGACATTAGCAGGTTTTTTGAAATAATATTAAAACTTTGTCCTCCGGTTGGGAACAGCACTATTTAAAGCGGCACTGTCATGCCGAATTCTGTTGTTTTTTTTAACCCCCCTCCCGCCTCCACTACATCCAATTGACTCACTAGTCACCCCCAAATGCCCCTAAGCCCCCCACATTACCTATTTTTAAATCCTTATTTTCTGCCCCGATCTTGATTCAGGGCGCAGCCATCTTTGTGTGGGTAGGTGAAGTCCCTCAGGGACACGTCATCAGCCCACACTAGGCAGACTGTGAGATTCCCGCACATGCCCAGTGAAACACCTGGACATGCGAACGGGAATTTCAGCTATTCATTCATTCATCAGACAGACGAATGAGTGAATAGAAAGATCAGCCGAACAAACAAACACAATGTATCAGTGTTTGTTTGTTCGTTTAGTTTATTACAAGGAGGGAGCTACCGGCATGCAGCTCCCTCCTTGTAATATGTAACTATAGAAGCGGCAGGGAGCAGTGCTCCCCACCATTTCATAAGTCCCCCCCCCCAGTACACCCTCTCACTCTATGGGGGTCAATATGATCCCCATAATAGCACAAGGGAGATAAAAATCTCCCAAATGCCCCTACTCGCTATACCGCGAGTAGGGGCATGTCCACTAAACAGTGAGCAGCCTGTGGCTGCTCACTGTAAAAACAAACAAAAAAAAAACAACTATTGGCCCCCACCCCTAAACAGTGAGAATGAGGGGGAGGGGGCAGTACTCCCCCCACCCCTGGGCGGCGGGTGGGGGCCATAATGAGAATGGGGGGGGACCTACTGCCCCCCCGGCCCCCACCCCTGGGCGGCGGGTGGGGGCCATAGTGAGAATGAGGGGGGGGGACCTACTGCCCCCCCCGGGCCCCCACCCCTGGGCGGTGGGTGGGGGCCATAATGAGAATGGGGGGGGACCTACTGCCCCCCCCGGCCCCCACCCCTGGGCAGCGGGTGGGGGCCATAATGAGAATGGGGGGGGACCTACTGCCCCCCCGCCCCCACCCCTGGGCGGCGGGTGGGGGCCATGAAGATAATGAGGGGGGGGACCTACTGTCCTCCCCCCCGCTCCCCACCCCTGGGCGGCGGGTGGGGGCCCTAAGTCAATTAACCCCCCCCAAGGTGACTAGGGGTCCCCAAGCCCCTAGTCACCCACCCCCCACCAAAAAAAAACAAGTCCCTACCTACCCCCCTCACCCTAAAAAATAGTGAGGGGGGGATAAAATAACTAACCTGTAAAATAAAATTAAACTTACCATTCGACGTCTTCTTTTTTCTCAAATCTTCTTTTTCAGCCCCAAAAAAGGCCAAATAAAAAACCATCATAACCGTCGAATTGAAAATAAAATAAAAATCCCGAGCGCAAAAAAATAATCCATCTTCACCCATGGAGGGCTCGGCGCGGGTGAGCTCGCAGGCGGGGAAGGCTTATAAAGCTTGCCCTTCCTGCAATGGAAGCTAGAACTCTGATTGGTGGGTTTTAAGCCAATCAAGAGTGTTTGTACAATCATTACAGCGTGGGAAAATTCTAAAGAACTTTCCCACGCTGTGTAAAATGACACAGAGCACTGTGATTGGATGGATTTCAAGCCATCCAATCCCGGTGCTCTGTGTCAGTTTACACAGCGTGGGAAAATTCAAAAGAACTTTCCCACGCTGTGTAAAATGACACAGAGCACTGTGATTGGATGGATTTCAAGCCATCCAATCGCAGTGCTCTGTGTCATTTTACATAGCGTGGGAATATTCCAAAGAACTTTCCCACGCTGTGTAAAATGACACAGAGCACTGTGATTGGATGGATTTCAAGCCATCCAATCACGGTGCTCTGTGTCATTTTACACAGCGTGGGAAAATCCAAAAGAACTTTCCCGCTGTGTAAAATGACACAGAGCACTGTGATTGG